CCATATCTTTCTTTTACAGGACAATTTATTATAGATAAACCTCTTTTTTAAAGAAGTGTAAAAGGTCTAATTTATTATTTGTAGCATAATATTTGAAATTAACTTAATGCAATCAATTTTTCTACTTATATTTGCTCGTGTTGTTTAACTGGAAATTTTTAAACTTATAGTAAGTTTAACATCATAATTTTTCGTATTTATTACATAAGGTGTATTATCTGGCAAATACATTTATTAGACTGTTATGAAAGCAATAAAATATTTTTCTTGGATTACCATTTTTTGGATGACTTTGCTTTAAAATTTGTATATAAATAGAAGAAATTAGCAATATATATATATATATATATATATATATATATATATATATATATATATATATATATATATATATATATATATATATATATATATATATATATATATATATGTATATATATGTATATATATGTATATATATGTATATATATATATATATATATATATATATATATATATATATATATATATATATATATATATATATATATATATATATATATATATATATATATATATATATATATATATATATATATATATGAAAGAGACAGATTTTTTTTAACCTGATAACATTTAATATCTGGAAACCGCATGTGTTTAACATTCAGATAAAACTCTTCAATATGTAAAACAAAAACAAAACTTAACACACTCAAATGATAAAATTACTTAGCAATGAAGCAACAACGCCACTTATATAACTAATGTGGATTGCAACATTTCAAAATACCATAAAATCTTTAGGAAAGCAGGTTACAAGACTTTTTTTAAACCAAGCACAAATCTTATATGTTTGCTAAGTTCATGCAACAAAACAAAAGTCTATCGTAGAGTATACCTACAATAACAAACCCAGACCTATTTTAATACTGCTGGAGTGGTATGGGCACCCAAAAAAATATTTATTATTAATTATTTTTCCTTTGTTTTTTTTTTAATAAAAATAGGAAAAAAGAAATTGGTTTTAAATGCAGTAGTAAATAACTAATTTTTTATTTATTTTACAGAGCTCTTTTTTTTTTTAGGGCAAAATAAAATAATTATGTGTAATTATGTAAAGTAACTCATTTAAAATTGTGGTTTAATTATTAGTAGAACGTTAGATTGAAAAAAAAAATGAATTAAATTTCTTTTATGAAACTCAATTTAAAGACAATCAAATGTGTGAAAAACTTCTTATTTCCAAAGATAATAACTTGAAAATATTTTGATATCACTTTGAGTTAAAAATTTGTTTTTAAAATAAATGAACAAAAGTAAAAGTTTTTAAATAAATAGTAATCGTGCAAATTTAAATTTTAAATGAACTTTTGATCTATAGCTCGATATTTTATTTTACTTTAGGAAAACGAAAAAATAAAACTTTTTTAGAAAATTTTTTTTTCTCTTTAATACAGGGTTGATAGGTTTAAAGCAAATGGTTTAAAGCAAATTAGTTTAAACTATGGTTTAAACTAATCTAAAAATTATCAATTAAAACCAAACTATCAGGTAACCAATAAAGTTCGTGCGGTTTTTCCTATTTCCTATTTACTAAAAAAAGGATTATAAAATAATGGTTGTGGTAGGGAGATAATTTTGTTTATAAATTGAAACTTGTTTCAAGGAGAATCAATCAGTGTGTTTCATAAGTTTTATTAGTGCAATTTAAATTTAAAATTCTTAAGTTGAGTATGGCTGTGTCAAATGCGATAATTCGCACCTATTTACTTTAGGAGTTTAAACTTGGCACCAAAGCTGCAGAAGCTTGTCGTAAGATATGCGCTGCTTTTGGGGAAGGTACCATAGCAGAATGGACAGGTCAAAAGTGGTTCAAAAAATTTTCTTCTGGAAATAAAAACCTTGAAGATGAACCAAGATCTGGAAGACCATCCACTGTCAACAACGAGGATATCAAGCTGGCATTCGAGCAGGACTTCAGCTAAACATGTAAGGACCTTGCCTTAAGATTTAATGTGAGTGATGAAACTATTCATTCACATTTGCACCAACTTGGAAAACGTTGGAAGTTGAGCAAATGGGTATCTTATGACTTGAGTGAAACAAAAAAGCTACAGCGCTTAATTATCTGTTCTTCATTGCTTTTCCCGCCACAATTTAGTGCCATTTTTTTATTGGATGTTGACATGCGACAAAAAATGGATTATGTACTGCAACAAAAAACAAACATATCATTGGCTAGCCAGCTTCGATCAAGTACCGATGACTCCTAAACCACGTATTCACCAACAAAAGGTTTTACTGTGTGTATGGTGGACTACAGTAGGTATCGTTTACTATGAGTTGCTACCAAGTGGACAAACCATTAGTGCTGAGATATAATCAGCCCAATTGGACAGAGTTTCAGTTGCTCTTCACCAAAAACAAGCAGTTGGCAAACAGAAAAGGTGTTGTATTCCACCAGGAAAACGCCAGACCGCACACCTGCAAAACCGCACAAACTTTATTGGTTACCTGATAATTTTTTATTGAAAATATTGGAGTTGCTCTAGATAAGTTGCAAAGAGATCAAAAAAAAATAAGTGACACTGTTGAAATTTTTAAAAAGCTGATAAACATGTTACTGTTGTTTTATCAACTGATAAAAAAAATATTGGAAACTAGATATCTTCAGACTGTCAGTAATGCTCATTTCCTTACAAACACACTAGATCTTAGATATTTTGGATCTGATCTTTCTGAAAATAAAAAATGAAGATGCAGTGACCTTTATAGATAAAGAGTTTAAGAACTTAGTACCAACAATATTCAAGTTGAAAGCCAAATCTGCTCCAATCTATAAAAGCTATTTGTATAGTGAATCTGTTTTAAAAAATGTATTACCAATAGAATGGTGGAAATCTCTAAAATATTTGGACTTCAACATTATCATGGATATTGAAGGTTGTTAAGTAAACCAGTTTCTAGAGCTAGAATTAAAAGAATTTTTTCAACTTTTGGACTTGTTCATCCCAAGTTAAGAAACAAGATGGGAGTAAAAAAAAATGGCAAAGCTTATTTTTATATACAGAACATTAAATAATGATGTATTGGTTGATGAATTACAGCAGAAATGTTAATAAAAAAATATAATTTACTCAAGTAAAATGACTAATGCTTGTATTTATGTGAAAAAAGTTGACTAAACATGGTTTTAAAAAAAAAAATTATATAAACCAAAAAAACCAAGGTTTTTATGGTTTCTTTGTGCCCCTGCTTTAATAATAATAATAAAAATAACAATAAGTTTTAGTTTTATTACGTTTTTTATCATAAGTTTTATGTTTTTTTACTTTTATACTTCAATATTTTTAATTTAAAAAAAATCTTTAATAAATGTAATTTATTTATTGCATGCAAATTTTTTTTTAATCCTCAAGTTTACTGTAATCTTCTTTTTTATTTAAAAGTTAAATAAACAGAACTGCAAATATATATATATTTATATATATATATTTGCAATTATGTAAAATTATATTATACTATATCTGTATATAGTATAATACTTATACCAAGCCTTACGAGAATCTTTTGTGTAATCATACGCCTTGTCCGTCCATGTTTAAAACAATTTTTTCAGACTCACTGACCATGCCAGTTTTGCATTTTTGAACGTATTTTAAAATTTTTACATTTAAAATGTTTCAATAATTCGTGGCAAAAATCTAATCTGATCTACTGAGAAAAAATTCCAATACTAAAAAAAGGAAACAAAATTATAACAAAATATCAAATTTAAATAAACTAAAAAAAAATTAATAATTAAATATTTTAGGGTGGTTGTTATTGATAGTTACAGAATTTGATACAAGTCAAGGAAAAAAAAAACAATTTTATAGTTTTATAATAACAATTGATAGTTTTGATATGCAAATTATTCACTATTTTTACGAAACTAAATTGTTATGTACTCAAAACAAATTAACAAATTTTGTAATGGCGAAATAAACTAATTAAAACAATACTATGGTTTCTTTTTTAAATGTGTATTTACAATACTGGTTTCCTTTACACTGCCCAATTTTCAACGTTAAGACGAATTACTAGAGATAATGAACATAACAATTGCTCTGTTTAAAAAAATGTATTTAAAAACTTAAAGAATTTTTTAAATAAGGCTCCTTAAAGTTCAGTAATATAACAATGCAGATTTTGAAGAACCAATAACAAAAGTCAATCAGGAAATAAACTATTGGGTTTAAATGCACATTTAAAAAATCCAACCAAAGTGCTGACTATTTACCAAATAATTTATATTTAAACATTAGTATAATGACATTTTATTATTTTACATGAAAAACTTCTTAAAAAATAAAAAGTATATATTTTACAAATAAAAAGCAATTAGTTTTCTTGCTTTCCTGGGCATTGATAAAAACAATAAATTTTAGCAAAACATTTAAAAAACAAATTTAAAAATTGTCCTTATTTATAGCACAAATAATAAATTATTTTTATTTTATAGAGGCAACTTATTTTTTACAGATGACTTAATAATCTTTAGATTATTGTTTTTTATATCTTTATTATTAGTTTTCTAATTATTTTTTAAAAATGAAAGCTTTACTTGCCAATCTTATTAAAAATACAATCTTATGAAAAAAACCATCTTATGAAAAATACAAATTATTATTAATTAACGCAACTAATTAACACATTAATTATGGCAATAATTCAAGATAAGGACTGTCCATAAATGATGTCAGTGATTTTTCTCAATTTTTTGACCCTCTCCCCCCTCAAACTCTGTCAGTTTTTGTACCCCCCATCCCCCATCTAAAGTAACAATAAAAATATGTGTTAAAACCATTGATTTTTTTCTGGTTATATTATACATTAATATAATAGTAGATCTCAGCAAGTTACATTATAGAACAGTTGATACCTCATCAAATAATGAACAAACTAATCAAATTTTTATTCTTTATCTATAATATAAATTTAATCACTCATTATCTTCCCATGAGTTGTTGAAGCGA